CAGCATCCTGACGGTGATCAGTTAATGAAGTGCATTGATCAGCAGCACCTGTCTGACACGCTCCTTAAAGTCAAAGGCAGCATTTTGTTTTTCACTTTCTCCACTTTGTCTTTGTTTTCATTTAATAAATAACGACACGGTGGAATGTCGTGATTGTTACACTTGACGTTAGATTTGAATAATTTTAGAACCTCGTTAAGACCAGGTCATTTTTGATCATGTACTGATATGTAAAAATGGGACTTTTCTAGTGTCTAATAGTTCTGTCTGTCTTTTTTAAATTTGCCCATTCAAAGCAAAAATCTTTAGACACGTTTAAATTCTGAGTTTGGTCTAAAAATCTTATTTTACATCTGCTGCAAAACAAATAGGCTTCTTTTCCATATTTGTTACCATTTTGATCAAATTGAAAGCTGCACAGACACTTTCTCATTGGGTAAGGAAATAATAAACTAAAAGTTAGTAGTTTATTAAGTCATTTAATGTTTGAGCAGCATAATTTATGTAGTAGTGAGCTTGTGCTACAAACAATGATCGTGGGTGTAAATTGTTTCCAACTGAATTAGACTCAACAAAAAGTCTTTATAGACGTTAGACTGCTGCAAAAAGGACATGTACATTCAGTCTTTTTTAATAAAAGCTTGTATTTTTAGGTGATTGAACATGTATGGTTTTGTAGCAAAGCAAACACTTTGGTGACAGATGACTTTCAACAAACAGCTGACTGTGCCCTGCTCAAGAGCAAGAGCAGCGGACATCCAGCAACACTGTAGTTCACTGCAACATTGTTGCATTTGTCTTTTGGGGGGAAATCAGATAAGCATTTATTTTTGTTCGTGATTTTAGTTTTTTTATTTCGCGGGGTTGGGTCAATAAGCATGATTTATTGTGACAAATCCTAAAAATCCTTCTACCGTTCTTTTTATTACTTTATCAGTAAAACCATAACCTCACAGTAACTTTACTACACACTCATGTTCCTGAGGGGAACACAATCAAATACACTGCAAATACAAATAATAATACCATATGTATCATATAAAATAAAGCATTCTTCTCTGCAATGTTTTTTTTTTCTCATCTCTTTCCCTAAATTTTAGATTTTTATATTAGCTCACTAGGTGGTGCTCTGCTTTTACATTCAGGAGGCTCTTCTAGGGCTCAGAAGCTGTAACTTATCAACTGACATGCCTCTCATCTCATGCATCCATCCATCCATCCATCCATCCATCCATCCATCCATCCATCCATCCATCCATCCATCCATCCATTATCTTTACCCGCGTCTTCCTTTTTGGGTCGCGGGGGTCACTGGTGCCCATGTCCAGCAGTCACTGTGTGAGAGGAGAGGGACACCCTGGACAGGTCTTCAGTCCATCACAGGGACACACAGAGACAAACGAGACAAACAACCATTCTCTCTCTCACCTAGGGACAATTTAGAGTCACCAGTCAGTCTAACGTGCATGTGTTTGGTCTGTGGGAGGAAACTGGAGTACCTGGAGAAAACCCACACATAAACAGGCCTCTCGTCTCGTCCAACAAAATTGTTTTATTTTGGGTGTAAAGAGCAAAAACTCTTGTAATGTGCACGAGTATAAATATTTGGTTCTAAAAAGGTGTTTTACATGGATGCAGGATGCAGACGGGACGTTTCACAGCTGACTGTCGTCAGTTTCCCCCAAAGCAGGACGTTGGTAGCGGGTGCACCGTGCCCCTGCCTAGATCAGTAAATGCAAATATCTAATCAGAAACTGGTCTTGTCCACAGCTAGAGCTAAAAAAATAATAATAATTTTCAAGAATCATCCAAATAAAAAACAACACTTTCAACCACTGCGTAAGTCTGACCAAAAACAAGAGCACATTCTACTGGATCTGACGGTGGGCTGGAGGGTCCTCACAAAAATCTGCACGGGATTTGTTAAAAATTGTACAAAATATATTTTTGGCATACTAATGGGGAAAATGTCCGTTTTATGTTTGCTCGGGGGTTTTTTGTTTGTTTTTCAAAAGTTGTTCTAAAATAAATATATAGTTGATTTAAAAAAAAAAAAAACTGAAACATGAAGTTTTTCTTTTACTTTTATTTTTTTTACCAAAGGCCCTTATCAAGACTTGTTTTTTTTTATGCTCATTTAAATTTGATATTTTTATTTCATGCTAAGAGAGCACTAAAGGATTGACAAGTTTATTGTGGAAAACAGTTTTAAAATCTTGTATTTTGAGCAGTGAAACAAGGTGGTTTCCTCTGAGGAACACGGATAAAGTCAAAGGGCGATACGAGGGTTACATTTTGTGAGCCTAAAGGATTCTGGGTGGTGATGGTTTAGACAGAGCCGAGCTAGATGCTCATCTAAACCGCCTCCTGCCTGTAGCTTTACACATACAGCAACACGTCGGCAAATAAAAAATAACCAATGTAATACGTTGTCTTCGTCTTTTATCTGGCAGTTTCTGGCAGCGCAACACTTATCAGAACGTTTTTGTTGTGACTATAGTTGCAGTGATTTACAGGTGAGACCTCTGAGAGATGGAGGCATGACTTGACTAACGGTGACATGCAAAGCTCTGTTCCCCAGCAGTAGTGTGGTCACGGTGGATCTGGCTTCTACGTTCATGTATTCAGTCAAAGTGGTCCTGATGCACGCCTCCCAAAAATACAAACAAATTAAATAAATAAATCTTGCTTGCACAAAAAGCTGCAAGTTTCCAAGACTTGAACTTAACGAAGGCCTTGATGTCCAGAAAATGTGCTGTCAGGAATTTCTTACAACGGAATGTTTTCACGTGTCTTCGTTCACCCAGGTGAGTAATAGTGTTCTCTATATAGATTCATTATATTTTCCTGCAGTCATAAAACATGACAGAAAAGTTGAAGCATCACACAATTACACAGACATTTAACACAACAACAGGGCCTTCACTACATGTATTTCTTTTTTAAATACCAGTAGGCAAAGTAGCCCATCCCGCCCAGTGAGCCCATGAGAAAAGATGCCCCGAAGAAGGATGGCGGCTTCTTTTTTACCATTCGGAAGGCGTTGGGTAGGACCGCAGACAGCAGGGTCGTGTGGACATCGCCCAAGACCTTGCGGAAAGCGTAGCGTTTTTGCACACGCACAAAGAAGGACTGCAGGTTGGGCCGGCTGCCGTCCTCCCAGTATTTCTTAGAAAGTCCCAAGAACTTGAGCCTGTGCAACAAGGCTCCAAGGCAGATATCAGCTAGTGTAAATTCAGGTCCACAAAGCCACAGCTCACACTTCTGACCTGTGGGAATAACAACATAACATGAAGATAAGAACAACGCAGGCGTTTCACTTGTGGACTGACTGGATAATTATGAATTGGCTCACCTTGATACTCCAGTTTCCTTTTCTCAAGTTCAGCCTCCACTTGGTCCAGAACCATGGCTAAATCCCCCAGAATTTTCTTCAGGTAGTTCACATTGTCATGGTCCAAGATTTTTGCCTGAAAATTATTCAAAAACATTTTCAAACGGTGAAGGTTAGGGCCAGTTGTGCACAAAGAATGAGCTCAGGTAAACACATACAAACAGACAGATGTGCTGCTGCTCTTGCAACACAGTATCCCTGAGAACTCTTTATATTTAGCTTGAAAAATAAAAACACTAATCAAGACCTCTAAACCAAAGTAATGACCAGAAAACATAAAAAACTGAAGTTGAACATAAACTATGCACAATAGTATTTAAAATGCTTTTGACTGTTGTGTGTATTGTAAAATCATACTAAAATAAAAAGCAGCATTTCCCTGCGCGGCCAGTGCAGCGAGCTCTCTCCAGACAGGAAGAGACGGCATGTCGTGCTCCAAAATGAGAAAAGCTGATGCTGAAAACTGTTTTAAAGATGAACGGACAGAGACATTTAGGTTCATTCTTCCAGCAGCAGTTCTTCAAAACCTGTTTGCCTCAAATGTTCTGAAACGGTCGCATTAATTAAAAGTGGCAACGTGAAGAACTCTTCACTTCATCTCTTTTGAGCAACGTTATCTGCTGAAGTCGAGCAGAGCAGTAAATTAACCGAGCTGCAAGCCCCGTATGACAGATCCACCCCCCCATCACAAATACTTTTACAGCCCAGCAGCAGCTGAATGTTCACTCAAGGTGTCGCGTTTTGGAACAACATAAAAGATTTAGTGACGGGACAGTCCTGAAGGAGCGCTTAAATGCTGCTGCTGAGACTCTTGATGGAAAACAAAAAGACAAGATGTGTGAAAAAATCAAATAAATCCTGAAGTCAGCTTCAACAGCAAGCAGAAAATGAGAAATATTAGCAAATGATGTTGTGGCACAGCTGGATGCAGCTGTTCAGAGTCATCCATGAGTCTACAGATGTTACTGATGATGCTCAGCTTCCTACATGAGAGTGACTCTGACTCCAACCGATTTAATTTACTGGCAGGACAATCCCATGACCATTTCTCTCACTAAGAAAAGTTAAATAATAATCAAAAGAGAAAAGGTGATGTTAAAGCTCTGTTTTCAGTTTGTTCCTAAAAGAGACATTTTTATTTATTGTTTTCTGAAGATGATGACGAGTTTTACTTGAAAACTTACATTTTTATAGGTTGGTGCCTCTTTAAGCAAAATAAATAAATAAATTACTTGCTCTGTTACAGGGGCAGCACGGTGGCGCAACTGGTAGAGCTGCTGCCTCTCAGCGAGCAGGTCCCTGGTTCAAACCCCGGTCCAGGGGCCTTTCTGGGTGGAGTTTGCATGTTCTCTCCGTGCATGCGTGGGTTTTCTCCGGGTACTCCGGTTTCCTCCCACAGACCAAAAACATGCATGTTAGGCTGATTGGTAACTCTAAATTATCCCTAGGTGTGAGTGAGAGAGTGAATGGTTGTTTGTCTCGTTTGTCTCCATGTGTCCCTGCGATGGACTTGCGACCCGTCCAGGGTGTCCCCCGCCCCTCGCACAGTGATTGCTGGACATGGGCACCAGCGACCCCCGTGACCCAAAATGGAACAAACGGGTAAAGAAAATGGATGGATGGATGGATGCTCTGTTACACTTTTTATACTAAAAGAGACACTTTTTAAATTGTTTTCTGATTTCTAAAGATATTAACTTTATTACTTCAAGTGTAAGCCTTCAATTATTGGACCTCTTCAATTTAAGAAAAAGACGTATTGGGCTCTGTTTGCACATTTAAGATGTTTTTATTCTGAGCTTTCTGTTTTAATCTGAAATAAAGGCCCTAAATGTATTTGCCTGGGACTACTTTTAATTATGGTCAAAGAGCGAGTTGTTTACTATAAAGTGCAATTTGTTAACAGTGAAAATGTGAACGGGTAGGCAAGACCATAAAAGTCAAATGTTGGACTTTCGTTCGGACCTTTTACTGGGAGGAAGTTTTAGTAACTGGACCTCAGTGAGTTTTAATTGAATACGCTGATATACGGCGTCGTCATGAGGCTTAATTTTCACATAAAAAACTAGATAAAACTCACCATTAGTTTCTTCTGCTTGGACAGGTAAGGTTCTGTCAGCTGAGGCTCCTCGTGGTCCAACTTCATCAGCTCGGTTGCAGCGTTAGCCAAGTGTCCTGAAATTTTACACACCACGCACAATTGAACTGTTTCTTCAGTTGTTCATTTTAAACCACAGCTTTTCAGGTATAGGTAACGCTAGGCCTCATCTGCATCAAGCTAACCACCTTTAGACAAAAAAATCAGCCAGAACATGGAGACTTTTGCAAACTCTTCACAAACTTTTCAGGTATGAACACAGTGGGATTCATTCTCTGTGTGAACAAGTGTGATAGGTCTATGACGGCTCTGAGCCTGAACAAATGATCTGGAGCGATGCTGTGGAGGTTTATTATGAAGGTGGCAGTGCATCGGGTCCTGGACTGACCTCATGCTTATCTCTATGACCTCGTCAAACCCACACCCTGCCAGCAACCTTCCATGTCCTTCAAACCTTCTCATGTCATGGCTGCAAGGAACCATCCGCCCTCTCATAGACCAATAAATGTGCACTGCACTCAACTCCTTCACTCACCTTTAAGTGACCTGGCTGTGTTTTCTGTGAGCCAGGCAGACAGAAGCTCTGCTGACTCTCAGGTGTTTGAATCTGCACCGGCTCTAGCTGCGTTAACAGAGCATCGCTCCCTTTGGGACTGACGAGTAGCAAAACGTCATCTACTACACAATGGAAGTCCAGTTGCTTTATATATAGTTTTTTTTTTATTTCATTTTAGTTCATAGATGGACACAAATCTGCACCAGTATTATCCTCCAAAGTTCAAGCAGCTGGACTCCTCTAGTAATTTAAAGACTTGTGTTAAAGCAGTAAAAAAGGTCCCAAACTTTTTTGAGATGTGTTGCCACTATTAAAGTCAGTATTTATTTGACATGTATTTATCTGACTTTATTATTTACTAAACTTTGTACTGTTTCTTAGTTTACATTTTTAATGTTACTATGTTTTATTGTGGATAAAATAAAAGTTTATATACACATATACAGTGTTTCCCCTAGTCTTACTCCCTTATCAGGGAGTCCATATCTTCTGTGACTTTTGAGGACAGGGGTTGTAGCGGAGACGGACACGTCCGTGTTGCACTTTTTGTTCCGACAGTTTACCGTCGTAGCTTCTTAGCTAGTGCGTCTCTATTGCACACAGCTAGCTTAGCACTAAGTCAGTGCCAGTGGTTGTCGACAGGGTGGGGGAGGGGGAGCAGTTTGTTAGACACGCCGCTTGGTTCCGTTGACAGGAAAAACACTGCATATATGCAGTGTTT